CTTACTTTTTTTCTTTGTCATTTTCAATTCTCTTGCTTGTTTTTATGCCTTTCTTCATTGCCTCTTGCTTTCATTTCAGTCTGTTTTCCCTTAGGTATCTTAAAATTTATTCGCTTACGAAGTAATTGTCTTTTCTTCCATTTCTTTCCTGCGTTTCATCAACTCTTTTCATTTCTCCTTTAGTCATCATTTCCATTCTTATTAATAGTTTTCAAAATTCTAAGCCAGCCGGGCGTGGTGGCTCATGCCTGTAATCCCAGCACTTTGGGAGGCCGAGGTGGGTGGATCACAAGGTCAGGAGATCGAGACCATCCTGGCTAACACGGTGAAACCCTGTCTCTACCGAAAATACAAAAAATTAGCAGGGCGTGGTGGTGGGCGCCTGTAGTCCCAGCTACTCGGGAGTCTGAGGCAGGAGAATGGTGTGAACCCGGGAGGCGGAGCTTGCAGTGAGCTGAGATCGCGCCACTGCACTCCAGCCTGGGTGACAGAGCGAGACTCTGTCTCCAAAAAAAAAAAAAATTCTAGGCCAAGGTAAACATTTTTATATCCTCAAATGCTTATCTGAGTATATTCAATTCTGTGTGGAGTGTAGACTTATAGGTTTTCTTCTGTTTCCTCATTGTTTTCTGGGTGGAAGCAGGTAGTCTCCAAAGTTGATTTGTATAAACAGTTACAGTTATTTCCTCATTATCTACAATAAGCTCTCTTTAAATTTTATTTCCTCTTGCTCATTTTTGTAATATCTGGGGTATAGTGATAGTTTACAAGATTCCTAGTTTGACGGTGCTCATTTCTGTCATTCTAGTCAACCTCAGATATATGAGAGTTGTTTGAGTGTTTTTTTTTTTGGAGACAGAGTCTCGCTCTGTCACCCAGGCCAGAGTGCAATGGTGTGATCTCAGCTCACTGCAACCTCCACCTCCCAGGTTCAAGTGATTCTCCTGCCTCAGCCTCCCAGGTAGCTGGGACTACAGGCAGGTGCTACCATGCCCAGCTAATGTTCGCATTTTTAGTAGAGGTAGAGGTTTCACCATATTGGCCAGGTTGGTCTTGAACTCCTGACCTCAAGTGATCCGCCCTGTTTGAGTTTTTTTAAAAAGTCATTTGTGGTTGGTTTGGAGTTCTCCAATGTCATGGTTCTTTTGGTTTTTTTTTTTGCAGGACTCTAAAGTTCCCTTTTTTAGCCTTTAAACAATACATTCTGGACCTGTAAACAGTACTTTCTTGGTCACAAAAGTGAGGGGGACGGGCAGAATAATCTCAAATTTCTATTGTATTAAAAGTAATGTTGCTGAAGGGCTGGGCACGGTGGCTCACGCCTGTAATACCAGCCCTTTGGGGCAAGGCGGGCAGATCACTTGAGGTGAGGAGTTCAAGACTAGCCCGGTCAAAACGGTGAAACCCCATCTCTACTAAAAATATAAAAAATTAGCCAGGCATGGTGGCACATGCCGGTAATCCCAGCTTCTTGGGAGGCTGAGGCAGAAGAATCGCTTGAGCCCAGGAGGCAGAAGTTGCAGCAAGCAGAGATTGAGCCACTGCACTCTAGCCTGGGTGACAGAGTGAGACTCTGTTTAAAAAAAAAAAAAAGGAATGCTGCTGAAGCTTTTGGAATGACAAGTAAGTTTTAGCAGCACCCATGTATTAACAATTCTCTCTCCTATTCCTAGGATTAAAACCTTCCAACTAAGTAGTCAAAAAAAATTTCAAAACTGCTGAACCTATGCTATAGATTAAGGGAACAACAAGTATCAAGGAAGAATCAGTATCTACCAACTACCCTTTGTCTCTCACATGCATAAAATGAGCTCTATCATTTGATGTAGAAAAGAAAAATACCAGAAATTTATTTTATGTCATAATAAAGAGATGATGTACTTATGTTTTATTTTTATAATAGAATAATGTTAAATTACTGGTGAGGAGAAGGAAGGTTCAGAGAACAATAAAGCATAAAAACACAAATTTAGGCTTTTGCCACAAGTCTTAATTTTTTTTGGCAGGACCATGAAGGTTAACAATGGTCATGTATTAAATACACTAGCTTCACAGTATATCAAAATAACACTGTACTGATTTACATTAGATTATATATAATTCTACCCACAAATCCTGTTTGGAGGGACTAGAAGATAACCAGAGAGATCTAGTTGACCTAGTAGTGCAAAGTAGTCATGAGAAGCAATGTTTAAGTAGTCTTAAAATTACTATTTAACATGGCTTAACAAAATTACTATAAATCAATTAATGTGTTAACTATAGCAAAAAGAGTCTGCTTTAATATGATTATCATCAACGTTCTTTTTTCAGTCTATCTCAGAAATCACTTCCTGAGTCTTCTGAAAGTTTCATTTATTCCACTCATTCTACAAATATTTGTTAGTGTTAGCTAAAGGATTATGGACTCCATTTAGGTACTCTTGTATGCTCATGTTATATCTGCCACACTCACTGCTATATTACCAATTCCTAGAACAGTGAGTGCGGCAGATATAACTTAAGGAACTTTCAAGTGTAGCTAAGAAGACAGAAAATTAAACACGTATATTATAGATGTGATGAGCATTTCATTAGGGAAGCATGGGGTGCTACATAAGCATACAAGAGGACCTAAATGGAGTCCATAATGAGTATGGACACTTGCAGGATGAGTAGAAGTCAGCAGGGTCAGGAGATAAGCAAGAATGACTATTCTGGGCAAAAGCCTGGAGTGAGAGAGCACATTCCAGGAACTGAAACACAGTGGAGTGTGGCTGTTAACACTGCAGAGAGAAAGCTGAAAAAAATCAGCAAGGTCAGCCAGGCACGGTGGCTCACGTCTATAATCCCAACACTTTGGGAGGCCGAGGTGGGCAGATCACGTGAGGTTGCGAGTTTGAGACCAGCCTGACCAACATGGAGAAACCCCATCCCTACTAAAAATACAAAATTAGCCAGGCATGGTGGCGTATGCCTGTAATCCCAGCTACTTGGGAGGCTGAGGCAGGAGAATCACTTGAACCCAGGAGGCGGAGGCTGCCGTGAGTGGAGATCGGGCCACTGCACTCAGGCCTGGGCAACAAGAGCAAAACTCTATCTCAAAAACAAAACAAAATGAAAACAGCAAGGTCCATTCCTTAGAGGCTTTTGTGAGCCACTACAGACTCAGGACTTCAGCCTAAGGGACATCAAAAGGTTTTAGGCAAGGGAGTAACAATCAGATGTGCATTTTAGACAAATACAACTAATCAATCAACAATAGTTACAGAGCACCAATTGGAGTAAGGCAGTATAGTGGCTCTGAGAACAATACACAGATGGGAGTTTGGACTCTCACTGAGCCTTCAAGGACTTTAGAAATGGCAGAGTTTAAGGCAGTACAAATGTACCTGTTTCCTAAGGGAAAGATGGGTTGTGGTAATCTGGAAAGGAATCTTTAGGTTTTTAAAGAAATTGGTATGGGCCAGGTGTGGTGGGACTCAGGCATGTAATCCTAGCACTCTGGGAGGCCGAGGTGGGAGGATCACTTGAGGTCAGGAGTTGGAACTAGCCTGGCCATCACGGTGAAATCAGTCTCTACTAAAAATGCAAAAAAGTTAGCCAGCCCAGGTGGCGGGCACCTATAATCCCAGCTACTCCGGAGGCTGAGGCAGGAGAATCACTTGAACCCAGAGGCAGAGGTTGCAATGAGCAGAGATCACGCCACTGCTCCACCCTGAGCAACAGAGTGAGACTCCATCTCAAAAAATAACATAACATAACATAACATAACATAACATAACATAACATAACATAAGTGATATGTTTCAGATGGGAGAGAGACCACATGCATCCTGAGCCATCTGAAAGTGGCTGAAAATAAATCTGGAAAGGCAGATTTGGGATACATGTGGAAGGCTTCAAATGTCTAGCTAAGGAGTTTGAAATTTTCCCATATAGGAGGTGTAGGGCCATAGACCATTTTTAAGCAAAATACATGCTCAGGCGATAGTATGATGGATAAATCAATGGGAGAAACGACTGTACTTAGCAAAGACAGTTAAGAACCTTGCATAGCGTTCCAGGTGTTGCTGCTGTAAAAGTTAGCAGTAGGGACCAGGGGAACAGATTTGGCAGTTATTATGAAAGAAAACCCAAGTAGAGTTGAAATGACTGCCTGAATATTTGAGGGGGATAATATCAGAGGATCAAGAACGACAGAACATAGTTGAAGTGGTATGAAATAAGTGGACTATAAACTGGAAATTATAAATTTCACTATTACATGCACAATTTCTCTATATTATCATACAACAGTGCCTCTCAAAGAGTGGTAGGCAGACCAGAATTCATCTACGACCTATTTGTTAACCAATCTGTACAGAAAATGTGATTAAGCATTTAGAAACTTCCATTATCAGTTGATAGTATTTTTATGTCTGTTGAATTTAATTAAAAATTTGAACTTACATTGTGTTTGTCTTTTTTAATTCCATTTTTCTAGCAATTCTTTTTGTAGTATTTTATCAAAGTATAAATCTGTCAAAAATTTAAAATTTTTAAAAACAAAAACTGTCCTTTACCACAGTTTGAGAAACACTATCAGAGTATTTAGCTTGCCCCCCAGATCTAAGTAGATTAACTCTACCTCTGTAAACACACATTCAAGAATATTAAAAAATAAACACAAGTTTGAATATGGACTGAATATTACAGATTATGCATTTATGGTTAATTTTCTCAGGTATAATAATACCACGATAATTATGTAGGAGAATGATACTTTTAGAAGCTATATGCTTATGTATTTAAGGGTAAATCATCATGTCTAACTTACTGAATGGGGGATAGCAAAACGAAAAAACACACAGCAGGCATCCCATACACACGGCTAAAGTAAACATGGTCAAATGTTAAGAACAGCTGAATTTAGGGGGTGCGTATACAGATAACAATCAACACTGTACTTTCAACTTTTCAAAACATAATGTTGAAAAAATGTTTAAATAAATACGTCATAAAAACCAAGTCCTCCATACCCCAAAGTCACCAGGTCAGTATTCTCCGGAATGACTTCTGGATCCTCACCGTCCTCAAGGCATTTCAGTTTATCAAGGCTAAAACAAAAAGGAAAAGCAATACTTTAAGGTCGACTCTGCATCTGGTTCACAGCGAGTTAGGGTTGTTTTCCTAAATACATTACTGAATTACGAAGTCAGATAAAATCCAGCAGGCGGCTCGGAGAGACCAGAACTTAAGACAAAGATTTCTGTGGTTATATTTTATAATGAAAAGGCCGATGAAGGCAGCCAGTACTATTAAATGGAGAAAGAGATTAAACTTATTTTTATATTTTCACCCCCAAATAAGGCACTTTTAGGAAAAATTTCAGTAACAGAATACCCGGAAGGTCCCCAAAAGAAATCAGTTAGTCGGGGTTTTAACACTCCTTTGATGAAGTCTCCCGCAGCTTCACCATTACTCAGATTCCTCCACTGTCAAAGTGTCTGTCAATGGCAGGTACACCTCGCTGTTGCCCTGACTGCCATTCTTTATTAACAAGCACTTTTAGAACAAGCAAATAGAAAAACTAGTCTTTGATGCAGCTGTCTTGGCCCTTTGCTCCAACTCGCAGAAACTGGGCATTCGGGTCCCAGGACTTCTCCTGGTGTTCCAGGGAGGCTCCAGCGGGTTGAAAGCTTTGAAAGAGTAATACTCCTAGCCCAGGTCCAAACCACAGGCCCTTCTCAGGGATGAGTCCCAGAGGAGCGCAGAAGCAAGGATGCACCCTGTTTGACCCCAAGCTGCAAGAGCCCCTTTGCTCCGCACTCACCCGCACACCGCCCTCAGTTCAGCCGCCGCCTCCAGGCTGCAGTCCAGATCCCTGGCCACCGCGGCATCCTCCCGGTCGGAGTCCGCAATCCCCCGGCTCCCAGGCAGAGCGGACGCCGGCGGCTCCCTCAGCGACAAGTCCCCGGCCCCGCGCAGACGGCCCCGCCACAGCTCCCCAAAGGCGCCCACATGGAAAGCGCGCGTATTTAGTTCGGGAAGCTCATACTCTGGAAAGTTGCAGCCGCCACTGCCGGAAACTGAGTCCTGCCTGCCAGCCACCCGGCTACACGTTGGTACACCTCGGCTTCCTTCAGCCATGTTCGCCCCACTCCCTTCCCTGCAAAAGCCTGGAGATCAAGGCCTCGCAGAGCGTGATGGAACTTGTAGTTGCTTGGAGCTCCCGGCCTGCGAGCCACGGGGCGGCAAGGGCGGGGCTTTAGAAACTACATTTCCCGGCAGGCCCGCTCCAGGGCGCGGCACCGCGAGGCTCTACGGGCAGGGTGCAGCATTGTTCTCCGACCTGGGCGGGGCGGGAACCGTTGCGGCTGTCGGTTAACGGCAGCGGGTGAGGCTGGGTGTCTGGTCCCCGAGTTACACAGCAACTGCCTCTGCTGGGTAGGGCGGCCTCGCCAGGCGCTTAGGCCCCGCTCCTTGCGGCTCTCGGACCAAGGGGTGCAGGGCTTTTTCTTGACTCTGGATTTCAAGGACTGCATTGCTGCCTGCTTGCTTTAGAGTCTAAGAAACAAGGAGGGCGAGGGCCGAGACCAGGGACACGATCAGTCCTCCAGATCTGGTTCTTTCAGAACCTCCCCAGAGGCGCCATGTGCGTGTGTGTGTGTGTGTGTGTGTGTGTGTGTACAGTAGTGTTTCAGAGCGTCTGTGTATCACACACTGCACATGATTAACCCTGGTGTATGTTTTTAATGTTTTTAAAAATTACAATGACCTTTCCGGAGAGGGAGTATCACCCCGTGATGCTGTTAAGGAAGGAGTTACCTGCGGGGAAAATGGAAGCAGGATCGGAACCCAATCAGTCTGGCTTCAAATGGAGCTCTCTCCATTTCTCAGAGTCCCTAAAGGATACAGCAGGACATACTATTTATTAGACTGTAATCACATGCCGTATAATACACCCATTTGAAGTGTTCAATGCTTTTTAGTGTATTAACAGACTTGGGCAACCATCACCACTATCTGAGAACATCTTTTACCACTCCAAAGAAGAAACTTGTATCTTTTAGCTATCACCCCTGATCCTCCCACCTCCAGCCCTAGCCAACCAAGAACCTACTTTCTGTCTTTCTAGATTTAACTAATCTGGACATTTAATATAAATGGAATTACATGGTCTTTTGGTGGCTGGCTTAATATTTGCAAGGTTTGTTACAGGTAGTTAGGCATGAGCAGGCAGGAGAGGGCTCTTCCCTCACCCACTAGGAATGCATATTGCCTCTAATAGTGATAAATTGGCAGCCAGTGCCGGGGAGAGGCCATTTCCTGATGGCCCACACCTGTTGCACTAAAGTGCTCATCGAATGCAGATGACAGGGAGAAGCAACTTCTTGGGCATATGCATTAAGAGACAAAATCGGGGAGTATGACCTTCCAAGAAGACTCTATCGGAAAAGGCAAGAAAGCCTCAGATGGGCATGCGTGCAACTGCCTACATACTGCGCTGTGCTCACTTCCCAATGATAAGGAGGGCACTGCGCATGCAGGCAGCCCACCCTAAGGGAAGAATCATGGGAAAGGAGCCAGCCTATAAAGTCCTAGGATCAAGGTCAATATCACAGTTGAACTCAGTGATAGCTTGGGACTCTTCCGAGCGTGCTTTCCTTTCTTTCCTATTCTAAAGGCCTTTTAAATAAACTTCCACTCCTGCTCTGAAACGCCTCAGTCTCTTTTTCTGCCTTATTGCTCCTCAGTCAAATTCTTTCTTCTGAACTCCCGACCTTGTGATCCGCCTGCCTCAGCCTCCCAAAGTGCTGGGATTACCAGCGTGAGCCACCACGCCCGGCCTTCTGGTTGTTTTGTAGTTGTTGTTTGTTTGAGATAGCGTCTTGCTCTGTCACCAAGACTGGAGTGCACGGGCACAATCATGGCTCACCGAAGCGTGTCAAGCTAAGTCATTATATCCCCTGTGACCTGCATGTATACATCCAGATAGCCTGAAGCAACTGAAGAACCACAAAAGATGACATTCCACCATCGTGATCTGTTCCTGCCCCACCCTAGCTGATCAATTGACCTTATGACAATACACCTTCCCTGCCCTTGTGATAACATACTTTGTAATATTCTCCCCACCCTTGAAAATGTACTTTGTGAGACCCACCACCCTGCCCACAAAAAATTGCTCCTAACTCCACCGCTTATCCCAAACACATAAGAACTAATGATAGGCTGGGCGCCGTGGCTCACGCCTGTAATCCCAGCACTTTGGGAGGCTGAGGCAGGCGGATCACAATGTCGGGAGTTCGAGACCAGCCTGGCCAATATGGTGAAACCCCATGTCTACTGAAAATACAAAAATTAGCTGGGTGTGGTGGCAGATGCCTGTAGTCCCAGCTACTTGGGAGGCTGAGGCAGTAGAATCGCTTGAACCCGGGAGGCAGAGGTTGCAGTGAGCTGAGATTGTGCCATTGCACTCTAGCCTGGGCGACAGAGTGAGACTCTGTCTCAAAAAACAAAAAAAGAAAACAGCTAATGATAATCCCACCACCCTTTGCTGACTCTCTTTTCAGATTCAGCCCGCCTGCACCCAGGTGATTAAAAAGATTTATTGCTCACACAAAACCTGTTTGGTGGTCTCTTCACACAGACGAACGTGACACAGCATAGACCTCCCAAGCTCAGGTGATCCTCCCATCTCAATCTCCTGAGTAGTTGGGACTACAGGTACACTGCCACCACATCCAGCTAATTTTTTTATTTTTTGTAGAGAAGAGGTTTCGCCATATTGCCCAGGCTGGTCTTGAACTCCTGGCTTCGAGTTATCCTCCTGCCTTGGCCTCCCAAATTGTTGGGATTACAGGCATGAGCCACCACGCCCAGCTGGAGCTCTGGTTTTTATCCGTATATCGTTGTCGGGAATATCTGTTGTTTTTGTCAGCCTAGTATTGTTTAATAGATCTGACCTTCCCTACTACTTTTGATCCTCCTGTGGCTGCCAGTCACAGAACCATTCCCAGTCTGGCCATAGTGGTTAGTCCAAGGATGAGCGAGTGTCTCACATAGAGCCAATCAGAATTCTGTGGGATTTTATCTATAAACCAAGAAGCTCTTTACCCGTTCTAAGGACTTAACAATGTGTCCTAGACACAGACTGTTCCTGCCAGTGGAAGAGTCAGAAGGAACAGAGGCAAGAGTTTGAATAAGCAAAGGCAGAAAATGGAGAAGAGAGAAGTCAAGTGACTTGGAGGTATTGGGGCTGAGGCCATGTGCTCCCTTATATTTGCCATTAGGTAAAAGAGGCAAAATTTTACCTCTACTCTGTTAGGATTTTTCAGCTGGGCCTGAGAATTAAATTGACATAAGACAGAGCAACAGGAGAAAAACGTACAAATTAATTTCATAAAAGTGTTATGTGGCATACGATCCTTCATAAGGGCGCGGTGGCTCACGCCTGTAATCCCAGCACTTTGGGAGGCCAAGGTGGGTGGATCACGAGGTCAGGGGTTCAAGACCAGCCTGACCAACTTAGTGAAACACCGTCTCTACTAAAAATACAAAAATTAGCTGGGCGTGGTGAAGGGCGCCTATAATCCCAGCTACTCAGGAGGCTGAGGCAGGAGAATTGCTTGAACCAGGGAGGCGGAGGTGTTTTAATTTAATTTAATATAATGTAACTTAATTTAGGAGAGCTAAGTAATTAAACATGAGGCCAAAGTACGTAAGAAAGTGGCAGTCTTTTATTGCAAATATGCACACACTCTCGGACGAGGTTCTCTGGCCCTCAGGTGTGGAGGGCCAGGGAAGTCACACCGGGGCTCTCCGGTGATGTTTTCCAGTCCACAAATATGGGGGCGAAGAAGTCACGCCGCCTCCTGCCGGCAGCGGACTTTTATGCCTGGGAGCTGGAAGGGGAGGAGTTCGGGGGGGGGGGTGTGTAGGAGTGGCTTCTTGAATTTCGGTGTCCTGGGCTTGACGTCATTCTGTGCATGCTCAGTTGATTTGGTTCTTTTCCCGGGCACGGGAATTTTTCCTGGGCGTGGGAAAATCTGTGAAGAAGAACCCGGAAACAACAGCAACTGCTCCATCTTGTTCACCTTCCTCCATCTTGTCCCTTTTCCTTCACCCAAACAGGAGGTTGCAGTGTGCCACTGCACTCCAGCCTGGGCGACAGAGCGAGACTCTGTCTCAAAAAAGAAAACAAACAAACAAAAGACTCCTACCACACAAGTGCCTTTAACTCAAAATAGTATGCCACTACTTTGGGGTGGTATATTCTTAACTCCTTCACTAGTAACTTTTTATGTTTTTATTTATTTATTTTTGAGATGGAGTCTTGCTCTGTCGCCCAGCTGGAGTGCTGTGGCGCAATCTCGGATCACTGCAAACTCTGGTTCCCAGGTTCACTCCATTTTCCTGCCTCAGCCTCCCAAGAAGCTGGGACTACAGGTGCCCACCACCACGCCCGGCTAATTTTTTGTATTTTTTAGTAGAGACGGGATTTCACCATGTTAGCCAGGATGGTCTCGATCTCCTGACCTCGTGATTCACCTGCCTCGGCCTCCCAAAGTGCTGGGATTACGTTCCCGGCCTTTTTGTTTTAATCTTAAACTAGTTTGAGTTGGATTCTCTTGCAACCTAAAGTCTTCTGAGGTCCTGAAATACTTGACCCAAATTCCTCAACAGGGGGTGCCCTCACTTGAGAGAATGAGGTCATGTTTCAGGTAGAACTGGTCTAACATATTATCTAGAGATTTAGTAGCATTGGCTTCAGGACTGGTGACCACACAGGTTCCCGGGCAGCAGTGGGCAAGGGCAGGGATCAGAATGGCTGTAACCAAGGGAGGTGGTTCATTGTCACTGTGAGGAGTACCACTTGGGAGCAACAGCTTCAGAGGTGGGAATTACAGGGATCACTCGGGAAAGAAGAATTCATGGTGAGCATCAGCAGCAGTCACAACAACTTGGCAGTCATTTGGGTCTTAGCTTCCATGTAACGCCCCTTCCTGGAAGCAACCATAATCATATTAGCAGCTGCCCTTCTTGGGATAAGGTCATGGCAAAGGCAGCTTCTAGGTCTGTGGCAAATTTGGCAAAAGATGGGAGTGTTGTAGTCCTGGCACTAGGAATAGCACCAAGGAAGTGGAAAGACTCCAAGGTCCTGGGATAAGTATAGTCCCTGAAATTCTGTATGAGCTTTCTATAATTCCTGGGAGAAAAACCCCTAAGGTTTCCTGATTACAGTTATTGGACCTGACCACTAGGTTGGGGTAGTGGTGTGGAATTTAGAATCAGGAATACTGAGTAGTGGGTCAAACCAAGGTCATTATGGAGTGTTATCTGGCTCTTGAGTTCCCAACTCTGCTTATTGAAGAAAATATTAAAAACTGGGGAGTAGGAAAAGGGGCCACTAACTCTTACAGTTGGCCTCTGAACCAGCTTCCTCACCTGAGGTACTTATATGGGCTCTGCAGGTGATGAAAATGAGAAACACTGGCTGGTGGGAACTGTGGCAAACTGGCGAGTACTCTATCCTCTCTAATGGGGGCAGCTGTGATGGTGCCACGTGAGAATGTGGGCCTCACCTACCAGAGTTTTCATAATTTCAAAAGATTCCAGAGTTAAACCATAGAGGTCTAAAAAAATAACAAAATAAAAATAAAAAATAAGAATTTCAAAAGAAGTCAGATAGCCAATTTGTTTAAGTGTGAAATCTCTTGATCTTAAAATGTTGGCAATTAACTTATACAACATTTAAACACGGTATTTCCTTCCAGGCTAGTCTGAGCAACATAGTGAGGCTGTGTCTCTAAAAAAAATTAAAACAATAGGTGGGGCACAGTGGCTCACACCCATAATCCCAGCACCTTTGGAGGGAGGCTGAGGTGGGTGGATCACCTCAGGTCAGGAGTTTGAGACCAGCCTGGCCAACGTGGCAAGACCCGTCTCTACTAAAAATATAAA